GACAGCCAGGGACCAACCTGCACCCGCGGGCGGCCTGGCCACGAGGGCAGAAGCGCTTCACTCAACCAAGCGGGTGGCACAAAGCGGAGCCAAACCCCCTGCAGCTCCCCCGGGATCAGTGTGGGGAGAGGGAGGGGGCACACAGCGGCGCTTCTCCCCCTCCCAACAGCTTGGTACGTTAGAAGGAATCTCTTTACCCTTGGCTCTGAGCCTTCCTCGCCTGCCCCCAACTGCCCCTTTTCTAGTGCAAAGGATAAATGGACAACATAACGCTGGAGCTTAGGAGGGGGAAAGGGGGGGGCTCTGGAGAGGAAACTGCTGATGGAAACTCCTTACTCATTCACAGCAATGAGCGGGTAAGGGGTGAAATACGGCGCGACAGGGAGTAGGGGTCTGCAGCGCTGCAAGCTTAGAACGACAAGCTTTACTCATTGTACATGTTGTACAGGACAGAGCTGCTGCTCTCAGCAGCTCCTGTTCCCACACGACTGACCCGCTGGCCTCTCCAGTTCGGCTGGGCTCCAGGAACAAGCGTCATTCCCACGCTCCTGGTGTCCGCGCTTCACAGCCGGTCCATCCTGAACGTGTCCTCTGTGGCGGGGTCAGTGAGGACCATGTCTGGGTCGTTCAGCATGTGCAGTCCATCCAAGGTTAAAGGGTCAATTTTGAGTTCATCCAGAGGGAACTGGGAATCCGTGTCAAAGCTGACGTCTCCCACTCCTGCCAACGAGCTGGTCAGTTCTTTTGATAAGCTGGGAGGGGATTCTCCTGTCACTGCAGGGAAGAGGAAGAGAAAGGTGTTAGTAGGACTTCGCAAACACACACTCGCCAGGCAGAGGAGTCATAAAGCAGCTTGCAGCAATTCTGGAGTAACTTATCAAATGCAAGGCTGCAGTTCAGACCAGAAACAGCTCTCTTCATTGCCAGCCAGAAGAAGCACAGATTGGTCAGAGCAGCTCAGAACCCCTGTAACTACTTAACACAAAGCCAAATCCCTGTACATATATCTGGGGCCCTCAACACGGTGTCACTTAAGTCTCTTTCCTCACCCTCAGGTTTGAGAGGAATAACCTTAATTGACATGATTCTAATCAGCAAGAGGCTGCAATGTGGGCTGCAGGGCAGTTTGCTCAGTGGGCTGTGCAGAAACTGTTTCCAAACGTCCAACGGTGACCGGATCTGCTCCCATATGTGCCACTGACAAACCCTCTGCTGGCGCGCGGCCGGAGCAGCACAGGGAGAAGTTTGGCTTTCCCAGCTTCTCCCTCACCGTGGTGGAGCAGCCAGTAAATTAAGAGGCAGGGAATGTCTGTAGGACAATGATCCCTGGTTGCAGGGATCAAACATGAGCCACCTGGCACTCAGGGAATAGCCAGACCGGTAACACAAGGTGAAACAACCTTCAAAGGCAACAACATCCTTTTGCTTTCTTGGCTTGAAGCTAGAAGAGAAGCACCAGCACTGGGTGGTTTAGATGACAGTAAGGCTGTGGTTTCCTTACCTGTAAGAATGATGTTGGGGATGTTTCCATGGCTGGAGTAATTGAGCTGCTGTGAGTCCTGCAGGCTGCCGTGGCTGCCGGTGAGCCCCATCATAGCTGCTTGGGAGTAGTTGAGGGTGGAGCAGGGGCTATACAGGCTGTTGGAACTAATGGCGTTTTCGATCATATTAAACTGTTCAAGCTGAAGACCAAGGCAAAGGAATTATTACTTGTAACCAGCAAGAAATGCAACAAAACAACATACAAAGCTCAAGAAAGGGAAGTAACATTGAAAGAGGCAGGCAAACAAATTCATCTTTAGGTTTCCTTCATCAAAATATGGTCTATTGTCACTGGACTTTCCAGAGTAGTTTACTGCCAAATTCAGAGTGCAAGGGAATGAGGAGAGGGTGGATGCAAAAACAAAACTGTTGCTTTTGATATTGGAAGAACAAAAGAAAAGGTAGCTTGAAAAGAAAGGAAAAAACCCAGAATTCACGCTCCTAACTCAGGTATCTGCTCATCAAGTGCTGCCTCTCAGAGGCCAACTTGTTTCTTCCTGCTAATAGATTTCAGAGTTGAATGAATCAAGGCACTGGTCAACCAAATGATTGGAGGCATCAGGCTGGGTGCTCAGTTTTGGCACCAGGCACGAGTTGTTTGCCAAATTCAGGAGTAAATATTGTTACCACCTACAGGTGAATCTTTCCCAAATGTAACTATGGCCAAAAATGTGGCTTTTTTTTCCCCCCAGATTTATTTTCATTATTTTTAATCCAATAAACTTGGCAGAACACCCTAAAAAACACCTGCTATGATGGTGAAGAGGGACAAGGGGGAGGAAAGA